GTCTGTCGAGATTCTACTCTCACCGCATTGTCCATTTCAGTCCTTTTCGTCACATTGCAGTTCCTCGGTTATTACAAACATCACATATCTGTGCAGGAGGAGCGCCAGAGGTACTTACCTGGCTATGGAGGAGGCCATCTTTATCACCTTGGTGGGCGCTGCATCTGGAAGGCCCCAGTTGGGGTAGAGCTACACCAAGAGGCTTCGAGACAGAGTCAGGCATGGTGGCCTGAGCTGGAGCAGCCACAGCTGCTTCGAGTTATCTTTTGCACAGCTGGGCAAGGCCCTAGCAGTCCGCCATATCCTCGACCTTCAGGAAGAGGAAGGAGGATGACCATGGCTATGGTGGAGCTCATGTTGTACTGTCAGTAGAAGATGGAGTCGGACATTGATTCTGGTTCAGCCATTCAACATTATTATTATTATTTGTTGTGAATAAAGAGGGGAGTAGAAAAGGAGGAGGAGAGTGGTTGGCGAAGAGGAAGGGAATTATCGTTGGTCTTTGGTGGTGTACATCTTCGTCTTCTTTTCCTCTCTCTCCTCTCAAGTTCATTCATTTCTTTTTGCAATTGGACAGCATTGTACCTGTCTCTTATACACATCTAGATGTGTATAAGAGACAGCCCCCAACCCATGAAAAAAAAATTCGCAAATCATGTTTTCTCTGCGGATTCGGGGAGATCTCGACAAGCGCAGTCCAACCCCATCACCAAAAAAATAAAAAATAAAAAAATTCGACCTGGTTTTGGGCCCAACCGGAATTCCGGTCCTGGTCAGTCCAACCAACCGGTCCGGTCCAACCGGCCGGTGGCCGGTGCAGCCCTGACTCGAACGCATTTTCGGTGAGACCTTGCAGTGGCAGATCGCCCACCGCTGCCTGCTAACAAATGCCTGGCTGATAGACCACACTCGAACGCATTTTCATGCAATGCCCTGTCGCATTGCTAACGTGGCGTTGGTGGGATCGCATCTGGCAAAAAATGGGATCTGAAACTCCTTGGCCATGGTCCTGGCAGGCCATATTGGCAGGTCACTGCCCTGCAATGGGGCAAGCATCCCCATTTGAGAACAATTGGTTCAGATTAGGAAGACGGACGATCTTATGGGTGCTGTGGTGGCAGCGCTGTACCCTGGCTCTGGAAGGGGTCAGGGTAGAGGGCCCTGAACTAACAGGACAGTTTAAAGAGCTCATCGAGCTGGAGCTAACGCAAAGGTGGCGCAAACTCAAGTCCCAGCTAAACATCTTTCAGACCGACCGGGATATTAAGAAGGCAATTACCTCCTGCACAGATTGGCTAGGGGGACAGCGGAGGGGATGGATAGCACGGGTGGAGTGAGGGGGGCCCAAGTTGCTTTGACAGAACAGGGTCCCTCTAGAGATTACAAGTTAGCCTTTAATGACTGGGTTAATATTGAGCCTTCCTTCCCAATGAGACCCCCGTCTGAATTCCCGGACCCATTCCCGTCTCACCCCCTTTCCTTGGCTATCATTCCAAACTGATCAAGGTGTTATCCTCTGGAGCCCCCTGGGGTGGGGCACTAGGTACACATTCTCAGTGTCATCCTCAAATATCATTCTCTTTTCCTTTACCATCTGTGCAGTCAATCCCCTGGTATCCAGGGGCAAGAGCCGTGGCCTTCGGCCTACAGCTTAGAAATCTAAGCGAAGAAGGACGTTGTTCGCTATGAAGAATTTCGGGCCAGTGGCCTGATAGGTGATCGTAGGCGCCAGTCGTTCTATTCTTTTTTAAAAGAACCAAAGATAGGCTTGCCATAAAAAAAAACTTAATAAAAAGATTCCTYGTTGCGAATCTGTGGCAAAGCTATGAACAGATGCAAGTAATCCCGAACGAACAAAAAAAGTACCTCATGATGGCAAGGTGTTCTCCCTTATTTGAATACGCACCCAAGGCTTTAATTGTGATTACTTTTGTGGGAGCTATGACATCCTATTTTGCGGTCGCTTCCGGAGGGTTTCGTCGTTGCTTTTCCTGCATACCCTGCAGCCCTTCGGCCTTGTGCACTTGGGGAAGCACGCGAATGCACGCTGGCCTTCCGTCAGGTCAGGCGGCCAATAAGACACTAACCCCACCCCCGTGTCCGGGGGGATGTGTGGATGAGCGCATACTGTAATCCATGCTGGCAGATGGAAGGTACTCTCAGACTATCGAGGTAGGGAGGAAGCTGCTAGTGCAATGAATGATGGATTGGGCATCTCCTCAGAGATTGAAGAGGCGAACTACCAAAGCTGCACAGTTAACCCCCCAGGTCCACTGGGGTAGTCAATGCTGGCAGCCAAAGATCATATCTCGCTTTCAAATGTTCCTCAATGGATACAATGTTCTGGGACGCTGGACCCGTTTTCCAGCAGGTGCTGCTCCCCACCAATAGATGGAGCACGGCTCAAAAAAAAAAAAAAAATGGTTGTAAAACAGTAGATGGACTTTTGACTAAGGTAAAAGTGTAGTATGATTCTCGATCAGTTAAATAATACAAAAGAAGAAAAAGAAAGCTCTTGGAGTAGTCTTCTTTTTTTTTTTTTTTTTTTTCCTCCTTAGAGAGTCAATTTCGAGCAGTGCTGCGCACAAGGCAGTCCGTCATTGTTTTTATGGAGATTTTTTTTTTATCATTTTCTCAATTTTTATGGAGATTGTTTTGTTTTGTTTTGTTTTTTTCCCTCCCTTTTCCGTTTTGCTTTTTTGAAGCTTTGTCTTCTTCTTGTTTTTCTTTTTTCTTTTTTTTTTTTTGGGGGGGGGGGGGGGGGGGGNTTCGATGTTTTTTTTTTAATCTTCTTTTTCCTAATTGCAAAATTACGGCCCTTTCTTCGGTGTGGAGAAGAAAAGTTTTTTTTTAATTATTATTTAAAATTTGGACCGTTTCTCGATTTATGCATGTCATCCTTGTGCAGGAGCCATGCTAATCTTCTCTGTATCGTTCCAATTTTAACGGATGTCCCGAAGGACAAGAAGGCGAGATGAAACGTTCTTACACTCCTTGTTTCCAGGTGTTTGTTGCCAATGTAGGAGATGCTAAGGCAGTGCTGGCCCGTCTTCCCGCCAAACAGCTACCCACAGAGGGTGTGAGTGCGGATCACACCGCGAAACCCGGAGACGGAATCCCAATGGAAGCAAAAAAGGAGGAGCGTCCCAAAGCTGTCATCGTAACGCGTGAACACAAGGCAATTTTCCCCGAAGAACGAGCCCGTGTGGAGAAGGTGGGTGCATCTGTGTCGAGGTTTCCTTGCCCGCATGTTTGTCTGTGAACTTGTCCTCTGTTACAGTCCCTCCTCTCAGTGCACCTCAGAGTTGTCAGAGGCAAAAAAAAAGAAAAGGGACAAATAACAATTGCCAGAGGTGTATGTTCATTTGTTCGACTCTTTTTTCCTTAATTTAATATTCAATATTTATTATTTAATCAAATTCTGAAAAGACGGGTTTGGAATTTGAGCCCTGCCCATTTGGCTGAGCGGTTGACGCATGTAACTAACTGTTAGTGAACAGGTCATGGGCTTGAATCCGATCGAATCAGATAGATACAATTAACTTATGGGTTGCCCCTTGTAAACCACCGCTCCCCTTTTCACAAAGTTGCTGAATCGGCTCATTTTCTCGAGACGGGTACTGATCGAAAAAAGGTTGTGTCGGTAGTTTTGTTGGTGTGGGCTTGATCGATCCGCAGCCAGACAGAATGGAACCGGTGACCTCGGCCATAACAGCCGGATGCCTTTATCATTGCAATCATGACCCGGTGTTAGGACCTGAAGCCATTCCGGTCCTGACATTCAGCCCACCCACATACCGTTGCAGCAAGGACTTGCACATCACTGCAGCACGCTGACATCCATGAGATCCTCCGCAGGCACCAGCAGCATCCGTGTGGACACATCATCCAGATGACTTCCCGTGGCTGGTTGCTACGCTCGTACACTGTCGAAAAAGGTTGTGGGCTGACTGGTAGCAGCAGTGGACAAAAATATGCAAACTTTTGCCACAATTTTTTTTTTTTTGGCCACCCAGCAATGTCATTTTCTACTTTTTTTTTGGTGCCGGTTTTCGTGCTCCTTGGCATGAATGTCGTGCACGGACTCATGCCTGGCCGCGCCCCAGCACAAAATAAAGAAATAAAATAAGTTTGTAAAAATACTAAAAATGTTTTGTGTAAAATAATTAAAATTGCAATTCAAACAACCGTTTGTTTTGATGGCCAGATTTTGAGTTCCATCGCTGCAAACAACTTTTGGCTAAGGGTCATCTCAGGTGCTAAGTTGCTAACAGCCTTTTTTTTTCTTTTTTTTTGTGGGAAAGAGGTTCAATAAGCAAGGAATTTCCAGCAAACAATTTTGCGTGAGGATCGCCTGAGAATTCCTCTTTGAACCGAAGATTGCCCTTGCCCAGCCTCAACATCTGGAACCATGGCATATTACACACAACTGGGGCTGATAGGGGTTTACAAGGCTTCACGCTTGCCCTTGCCTACCCTTGGTATCTGAAACCATGGACATATAGATTGCACACACACGACTGGGGCTGGCTGGGGTTTTCAAGGCTTCGCTCTTGGCCCTTTCCAGCCTCGGTATCTGGAACTATGCACACACAAGATAGATATCCACAGACAGAAAAAATGCCACAGTGGGTGTTGGTAGGTAAAGTAGAAATATCGCTCGAGCCTGGCCCCCGATGTACCCTGATAATGTGGCTTGCCTGACTGTGCCTCAACTGGGGCTGGGTGGGGTTTCAAGGCTTCGCGCTTGGCCTTGCCAAGCCGTGGTGCCTAGAACTACTGTCTGGTCCAAGTCGCCCTCTGAAATAGCATGGTGATAGTCCTGAGTTATCAATAATGTTACATGCTGAGCCTGCACACGGGCCCCATTTTGGGGGCCCGATGGTTGCTGGGGGCCCCCAGGCAGCACACCCTTTGGACACCCCTGGAGGCCCACGGCTGGCCTTAAGGCCGCAGGATTCGATTTGAGGCAGCATTTATTTATTTATTTATTTGCGGTCCTATTTTTGTCTGTTCAGGCGTCGTTTTGGACTTGCATTTCGTGCGAACAGACTGTTCAGACAAAGGCTGCACCTTGGGCCTTGTTCGCTTGCTGGCAGGCCCGTTTGGGCCATGTTCGTACTCGTCCAGTAGCGGACATCCCTGCTGCTGCTGCATCAGCAGGGAGGGTCTGGACGTCCGGTCGGGACCCAGACCCAGTAGGCCACGTTTTTGGCCTAGGACCAGAGGCACACAGAGGCAGACCGGCGAGGCCCAGCGCTACTTATAGCTGGGCCAGGCCAGGGCAGATACAGTTCGAGTAGCTCACTTCTTGGGCGACATGCTGCTGGAGCAGCATTGCAGCACGACAGGGTTACGCTGGAGGTAGAGGTAGAGGCGTAGGTAGGCAGAGGGGCGGAGGCAATACCTGCGTTGGCGGAGCTCCTACCTGGGTGCCATAGCTGGTCTTCATGCCATCACACCTGCATCACACCAGCATCATCCAGAACCCCAGTAGCAGATGAAGCGCCCAACCTAAAAACAGTATTTCATCCAGAACCCCATTCAGCAGAGTGGTGCAGTTCTGAGGATGGAGAAGATGCAGCTTATCTTCGAAGAAGAAGTAAATTGCTGCCTCGTTAGCAGCGTCCAATCCCGACAGCGCAGTTATGGAGGTCACTTCCAGCGCTTAGGGCCTGTGCCCAGCGCTGCCCAACTCTGTGCCCGGAAGGTCCAGCTATGGCCGCCAGGCCACAAAGAGGATGCACGATTGTTAGGACCTGCCAAACACGGACTGAGACACACAGCTGATTTCTGAGTTTTGCCAATCGAATATATGCCTTGCTGAGTTACCCGTTTGTTGCTGAATTTTCTAAGTTTGAATGTGTGCGAGTTTGTGCCTGTTGGTTTGAGTGTGTGTGTGACCCGCGAGGGTACTTGTCCGTGTGGAAGGGCGAAAGGGCCGGTACTTACCTGTGGCCGTGGCATTAAGGGTTGCTGCGGGGAAAACACTCAAGTGGCGGGGAAGGCACCCCACGACACTTGAAGCAGCGAAAAAACACTCAAGTAGCAGGTAAGCCCGTACAACACCAGGTAGAGGTAGATGTGCCAGGTAGTCGAGGCCCAGCAGAAGAAGACTAAGTTGGCATTTTTAGAGGCCCAGTAGTTATAGGCTAGGCCTATGCAGGTACCCAGTCCAACGAGTCTGAGTCGAGGGCCTGCACGGGCAATATCAGAGTCTGCAGTGATGTTTCCCTCCGAATAGGAGGAGGTACCGGTTGCTTGGAGGCTGTGCGGCCCAGGAAGTCAATCGCCAAGAAGCAAGCAGGCCGCTACATCTTCAGGAGGAGCGAAGTGCTCCTCCTCATTGTCGGTGTGCAAGTTTGGCGACACACTGGTTGGAGTGCTGGCTGGAGCAGCGCTAGCATCAGAGCAGCGCTGCTGGGGAGGAGCAAGGACAGGAGGAAGAAGACCAGGACTAGGAATGTTACATGCTGTATAGGCCCCAACCTATTTCCCTACAGGGAAACTTCCAGGCTCTTGCCTGGAAGCTTCCTTCTGACAGGGCCTACAGGCCCCAGCCTGTTTCCCTACAGGGAA